TCTTTAATACTTAGATGAATATTAAAAATCTTTAAATGAATAATATGAAATACCTCAGTTATTCTAGTAATGAAACTGTCCATTAATCTTTGAAGACAGCCTTCTAAATTGTTTGACATCAGACCTATAAATAAATTTTTCCTTCTCTCTTTAGCCTGTACATGGCAGATATTAAATGAGTATTAGTTGAGTTAATAAATGAATCAATATTTGAATGATGACTCTTGAGTGCATGATGTTCTACCATTATTTTGGCAGAAGCCTAGAAATAAACTCCCAAGTGGGAGAGAGCTGAGTAATCTTACTAGGGAACTTAATGTCCATGAACCAGAAGGAACCAAAAAATATTTCATGAAATTGGATATCGTGCCAAATCTTTCACACACAGTTTCTGTCGTGCCAGGAGATACTATTTTTTTTTCTTTCCTTGTTTCTATCATAGTGACTTTTTTAAGTGTTGCTTGAGGAAATGTAATAATCTTAACTTTTTGCATGTCCCATCTTTTGCAGATAAATGATCAAACTAACAGAATTGAGCAAAGAGCACAGCCTAATTGTACTTACAAAAAAATTAGGTCTTGCCTGTCTTTTTGAAATAACTCTTTTGCCTTCTGTGGTTGTCTTAAAAAACCTGATATGCTCAGTTCATTTTTTTCCTTGTATCTAGGATCTTTACCAGGCTCTCTCTGGATATAACGAGGCATCTCTTTATCTCTGAAGGGCTGACATAAAACTTTCAACATAGTCTTCTCTGTTATATAGTGCAAAGAATCTGTTTGTTCTCCTGTTTGTTCTCTGTCCTTTGCTGTGTCTCTGTCTCTGAGAGACTGTCCTCACCTACGTAGCTTCATTTGCTGTGGCAGGCAGGGCACATGTTTACGTGATGCATTTTCAATTGCTAATTAGATAGGTTGGCTTAATGCCATTTCTAAGTAGTTCTAATTCTTAATTCATATCCCCAACTTAAGTCAACAAACTGGTTTTTATGTAGAAGTACTTTTTGTTTCAAAACAAACATGCTATGTGACTTTCCGTGGAGTTGCAGTAAAATATATAATAGATAATAAAGAGCATCTGTGATCGCTCTACTTAGCAAAAGATGTTATTAACAGTTTATTCTTTCAGCCTTTTCTATCGTTTTTATCATATTGAGATCAAGTTATATTACATGAGGATAGTAAGAAATTGTATCATAAATTTTTCCTCTTAATACAGTGTGATGAGTTTTTAAGAACTTTTCGTGAGTATATTGCAATAAATTTTTAGAATGTTCTTATGTGAATATATTGTATTTTATTGAACTATTGCCCCCCCCATAGGGCTTTTTTGTTTATTTCTCTTGAAATGATTGAAAAAATGATGTTCTAATACTTTCTTCTTCATAATTCCTTTTATGTATTTTTATTTATTTCCCCAAGATTAATCAACTCTTAGAATTACTGGATAGACAGATATTAACATTTTGACTAAATACTTCATAAACGATGTTTTTCTAGAGTAGACAGTTCACAATTAAGCCAATAGAGAGTTGTTTGATTTCAACCTTTCTATGATTTTTTGACTTTGTCTCATTTTGGGAATCCAAAAAAATGACTTCATTTTTTGACTCACATTTTTTTTTTTCTTACGGTGAACTTTTTTTAAAATTTGGTTTTATCATTCTCTTTGACCATTTACTTTTATCATTCAGTTATCTATTAAGATCTTAGTGTTTTGCTTTTAGTTAATTTTCATTAGATTTTGTTTTTTCTGTATTTGTTTTTAGATACATAAAGTAAATATATATAATTATAATATATACATTTTCATATAAATCTATCACTGTTTTCTTTTGTAATTTTCCCATTGTTATAGTTGAGAAACTGCTTTGTAATACGAAGACTAAAAAGATAGTCCCTAAAGTTTTCTTTTTTCTTTATGGGTTGATTGTCTTTTACAATAAATTCTGATCTGTAGAGTTCACGTTTAATTTGAAGTATGATACTAGTTTTGGTTAGATTTTCTCCTCTGAATGCTTTGTATTCATTCGTTCCTTCCATTTTGTGATGCCATATTTATCGTACATCACATTTTTATCATAGTAGGCCATCAGGGTGAGAGGGGAGTTTGAAATCGCCTTCTCAGCCTTTCTTATTCTTGACCTATTCTTTTGAGGATTTGTTCATTTGGAACTTTTATGTACTATTCTGCTCCTCTTTTGGCTCTCTTTTTTCCCTTCTGTTTCCAATTTTCATTTCTGCACTTTTCAGAATTAAAAAAAAATTGAGCCACATGTGAATGCTTGGAGGGAGCTGCACTGTTATATTCACCATTGTATTCCCTGTAGCCTGTATTAAGTTTTTAAAATTACATAATTAAAACAAGCTCTTATAGAATATAAAGGAGGTAAGAAAAGGGACAAAAAACCAAATTATTCTTGATCTCACTACTCAAAAATATACTCATCTCATAGACCATATAATATATATATAATATTTTATGTAAATATAAAATCATTTATATGTATGTATATTTACAAAATAAGCACATACTATATATATACAAGTTGATATGTTTTTTAATTCTTAGACTTCCATCTCTTTTAAATATTCTTGTGTGATTTAAATAATTTTTTCCATACCCCTCAGTCATTTGGCTGTACAATAATTAATCTAAAAGAGTATGCTATCTTTCTGAACGTAGTCTAATTCAAGAGTAATAATATGGATAGAACGCCCATTGTCCTCATTAAGAAGCAGGTGTGTATGTGTGCATATGTGTACATCTTATTTATTGGTAAGTTTGTGTCAGCCTCTGCATAATTGTTTTGTGAAGACCGGACAGGTAAAATCAAAGAAGACAGATAGGTTGTAGGTGGCATTTTTTTTTTTTTTTTTAAAGATTTATTTATTTGTGCATACAGAACTGGGGTATAGGCCAGAGGTTCAGGAGCGGCGAGAGGCTTCACCAGAGACAGAGTGGGGAACAGAACAGGCAGATCGACGAAGTACACTGCTGAGGGGAGCAGCGGGCGGGTCAGGAGAGGTCTGCCACGCCATGTGGTCCCTTCCGGGGCAGGCGGGAATTGAACTCATGCGGAAGCGGCTTTAGATTCTCAGTGCTGTGCTTTAACCCGCTGCGCCACCAGGGAGGGCCTGTAGGTGGCATTTTTTAAAAGAAACCTAAATGGCTTTGGCCACTTGATGGCTTGTGAAATGGGCACTGTTAACATTCCAGGAGCTGATCCTTAGCTGTAGATGACTCAGGAGAAAGAAGAAATCTAGATTCCAGGGAAGGAGAAATTAGATGCCAAATCAAATGCACAAGATCAATGGTGGTAAAGTTGGTGCCATTAGAAATCAAAGGGGATCCAAATTTGGACCCAAACTGAAAATAGCCACAAGAGTAGGTTAGGGCTTATCGCCCTGAGACTGGAGGGTACAGGTAAAGTGGGGGGAATGGCTTGAATAACTGGAGACTGGTTATTAAGAAAAAGGCGCTGGACTTGAGGTGGATGGGAGATGACATTAACTATCTGGATGGTACAGGTTAGCACTTCAAGTTTGCTTCTGTATGTGGCTGCAACCTACGAGCCATAGCTTTAAATTACTTGAGAGCTGAGCACTGTGACCTGTATTTTGGGGGAAGTTCTCAGATGTTAAGTGTTGTGTATTCTCGAATAAGGTTTAGTTAAACATTAGAAAGGCCTTTATTTGACTGTAGTGGGCAAGGTAGAGCAAAGGAATATGTCCAGAGAATTTTGAGAAGTGGGGAAAGAAACTACCAGGATTTCATGATGTTGTCTTTAGGAGAAATATCTCCTCACTTTTACTCTTTCATGGTCATTTAGAAAAATTACACCATGGTGGCTGCCAGCCCAGGGTGGCTGGAGCAGAGGTTCAGGGGGCCAGTAAAGGGAGAGAGGCCCAGGGCGGAGGCTTTCAGTAAGAGGAGGCTTAACATTGATAGTTTATGTGGAAAGTATAAAGTTAGCCTTGAGAAAGAAGGGTGAAAGAAGGGTGGATATAAACACCCACTTAGAGCTTTACAACTTCTTTTCACATATGCTACAAAAAAGTTATTTTTTTTCTTTTTGAATCATATGTATTGTAATCAAGTGAATTGAAACACAGATTATCATCATGCAAATTTTATTTTAAATTGATTTCCATTTATAAATTTGACAGTTTTTAGTAAAACTCAATGAACACAAGAGTTGGAAACTTTTGAAAGAAGAGATAATGAATAATGATTAGGTCATTACCTCCGCTTTTCTCACATGTTTATTTTTCACAAGTTTATTTCCATTTTCTTTTGACTTACACATTTATGTTGTTTCAGAAGCCTGATCATGCTAATACACTGGTAGCAAAGTTCTCATGGAATATATTGACGTATGTTAGCTTGAGAAATCCTCATGTTTGGGGCCTTACTTCCTGTGTATAAACTAGTGAATAAGCCTGAAATGTGAACTGTCTCATGAGGAGAATAAGAGGGTAGACCCTAGTCACCAGGAGAATTGGATCTTTTCTGTTTATCAATCCATTGATTCCCACCATAAGGGCTGACTCGCCAGACACAGAATCTGGTGATGTCTGTTAAGATGTTTAAAAACACTGCATTTTGTAATTCACAAATTACTGTTGACTATTCCTTGACGTCTGTTACCATTATGAACTGTCCAATATGGGTATATATAGTTTCATTAGAGGCTTATTATTTTGCATTACAAATGTCAAATGTTTATCACTTCATGAGTAATACTGGATGGAAGCCAGGTGGAAAGAGATTTCAGTGTTGAGCAGATGGCAAGGCTCGCTTGCCAGCTAACCAGCTCTCTCCTACAAACTGGCTTGTTGCTGTGTTCTTATTTCTTGGGAAAATGACCAGTTTTACAGGGGGTTCGTGAAAGAGTTAAAGTTACAGATGTTGACTATCTGAATGTGCAGAGACTCCTGTAATAACTAGAATATTGAGTTTTTAAAAATTATAATTTTTACTGTTTTCTTTGATTTTATTAGGTAAAAAAGCTCCAGTTTTATTTAGTAAAGAAATGATTGAGTCAATGAAGGAAGGTTCAGTTGTTGTGGATTTAGCCTCTGAGGCTGGCGGAAACTTTGAAACCACTAAGCCGGGAGAACTTTATGTTCATAAGGTACCGCAAAAGCTTCTTTCTGTGTACCAGTTCCCAAATTTTGAGTGGTTTGTGAGAGGGTCCTTATTCCTTTACATCTATAGGGAAATTGAAGCCTGAACTTTTTTTTTTTTTTTTAAAGATTTATTTATTATGCATACAGTACTGGGGTACAGGCCAGAGGCTCGGGGCGGTGAGAGGCTTCACCAGAGACAGAGTGGGGAGCAGAACAGGCAGATCGACGAAGTACACTGCTGAGGGGAGCAGCGGGTGGGTCAGGAGAGGTCTGCCACACCATGTGGTCACCTCCGGGGCAGGCGGGAATCGAACTCATGCGGAAGTGGCTTTAGCTTCTCAGTGCAGTGCTTTAACCCGCTGCGCCACCAGGGAGGGCCGAAGCCTGAACTTTTTAAAACTAAAAACAAGCACATTTAAATCTCCTTTAGAAGTATATAATTTTTTTAAAAAAGATTTATTTATTAATGCATGCAGTACGGGGGTACAGGTCAGAGGTCCAGGGGAGGTGAGAAGATTCATCAGAGACAGAGTGGGGAGCAGAACAGGTAGTTCGATCAAGTGCACTGCTGAGGGGAGCAGCGGGCAGGTCAGAGGAGGTCTGCCTTACCATGTGGATCACCTCCAGGGCTGGGGATCAAACTTGCACTGAAGTGGCTGTGACTCACTTGCAGTGCTGTGCTTTTAACCTGTTGTGCCACCAGGGAGGGCCCTAGAAGTATATTACCTTTTTTTTTTTTTTTTCCTGGCTTATTTCAATGAGCACAATCCCTTCCAGCTCCCTCCATGTTGCTGCAAAGGGCATGAGTTTATCCTTTTTGATTGCTGAGTGATATTGCATTGTGTAAATATACCACATATACTTGATCCAGTCATTTGTTTTATCAAATGGTCTCACTTATAGGAGAAAATAAAAAAAAGAATCAGAAAAAAAGTAACTCTAATAGCATCAACATCAAAACCATCAGGCAACTAGAGATCAGAGACATTCTGTAGGGGAGTGGGGAGGAGGACCAGGACAGGGGTGGGAAGAGCACAAGGGACTATGATGATGGTGCACAGGGGAAATTGGTGGTGGGAATTTCATAGGGAAACCATACAATGTACAAAAAAAGAAGGATGATAAAATGAATATATTAAAAAAGTATATAATCTTGTTTGTGAGTCTATTCACATACCTTTAAAGATCTGTAGTTTCAAAACTTAACTAAGACTATGAATGAGAATTGTCCTAGGAAGAATGTAAGGATGTGATCATGGCTCTTTCTGACTATAGTTTTGTTTATTTAGGGGGTTACTCACATAGGCTATACCGACCTTCCCAGCCGCATGGCCACACAGGCCAGCTCCCTATATTCTAACAACATCACCAAACTCCTGAAGGCCATCAGCCCCGACAAAGACAATTTTTATTTTGAAGTGAAAGATGACTTTGACTTTGGTACGATGGGTCATGTCATTAGAGGAACTGTGGTGATGAAGGTAAGTGAAGAGAGCTGTTCCTTTCTGTATGGCCTATGTGTGTGCCTCAGTATTTTGGTTATAGGAAAATCCTGTTTTAGAAATGAGATATAGCCTGGTAAAGTATTGTTAAAATTGTTTTAAAATGCAGGAGGATATATTTATTTTTAAAAGATTTTATTTATTTATGCATACAAGAACTGGGATACAGGCCAGAGGTGTGGAGTAAAGGAGGAGGGGGTGGAGAGAGGATTCACCAGAGACAGACTGGGGAGCAGAAGAGGCTGAAAGACACTGCTGAGGGGAGCAGTGAGCAAGACAGGAGGGTCTGCTGCATCAGGTGGGTCACCTACCTGGCTGGGGTTTGAACTCATGTTGCAGTGGCTGGGGATAGCTCCACAGTGCTGCACTTTAACCCACTGCACCAGGGAGGACCCAAACGCAGAAGGGTTTAGAGAAAGATATTGCAATGATTTACATGCACATGATTCACCTATAATATGTGTCACCTATAATATGAGACAACAACAAAAAACTAGAATTGAATAAAGTAAAATTAGATGTTCACCCTCATTTGTTTAAGATTTTGTTCTTTCATATTTATTCTATATATATACACATCTTCTGTCTATGTCTGAATGCATACCAGAAACATTTTTTACATACACATGTCATATGTATATAAAATGATGTTATAAAGTATATGAGTTTGTTTCATATATAAAAAAAGTACATTGATAGAATATGTTAAATTGCTGTTTTTCTGATTTCTGTTAGGACGGTGAAGTGATTTTCCCTGCTCCCACACCAAAAAATATTCCTCAGAGTGCCCCAGTAAAACCAAAGACAGTGGCTGAGCTGGAAGCGGAAAAAGCAGCTACTGTAACACCCTTCAGGAAAACCTTGACAACAGCTTCAGCTTATACTGCAGGTGGGGATTCCTGTTACTAGGGTGTAGTCCCGATCAATTGAATTTTGTAAATAATGTCTTGATTGTCAAAATTACTAATGAAATGTTGGTCTTCTTTGGATTCTTTGGCGCTAGAGGTGATTTTACACAAACAAGTCACTTGTCCTACCTCTGTGGAGTTGGGACTTTCTGATTGTCTTCCTGGAAGGTACAGGCTCTGTGTCACTCCCGGGAGTGAATGTGTGTGAAATAACATATAGTTAATATTTTTCTTTTTATGGGAAATATTTTAAATAAATTCATTAATACTTTTTTTGTACATCATATATTTTGAGCAATGATGCACATTACAGTATATTGATTGGAAGTCCACATAAATGTGTCTATTAATTTTTTTGTGGTTTATAAAACATCAATTGTGAAAATCTGCACAGTTGTATAAGACATTGGGTAACCAGGTGTTTGTGCTGAAGATTCAACATGATGATACAGGTATATCCTTTGAATGTTTAACTGATACTTTCAGTTATTCATTTAGTTAAAAAACTCAATTTAAAAGCAATCTATCTCTTTCTCTTAAACTTAATATAAGTTCTTTATTTTTTAAGACGTCTTCATGAACAACTAAAGAATTACTGCAAAATAATGATAAATATTCATTCTGGCTATAAGCTATTAGTCTAAAATATGAGCATTTGATTTTAAATTGCTTTTGCTGTCATAGAATGAACTGAAAGTGTCTAGATGTGCTTAGGACCAAAACAAAAACAAAGACAAACTATACAGAACTAAGGGCACACAGAATTTTTGTAGCCTCAGCATTCTCCAAATTCCCTTGTGAGTCCAGATGTTTTAAAGCTAAATATGAAACTCTCCTTGAATAAAGAGCAAATCTCAGCAAAAAGACTGAAAAATCCCCCAGTTGTGAACATTGTGAAGAGATGGGACAGTGTCCCTGTTTGCAATTGTTAAAAAACAAGAATAAACCGGGTGGTTGTATTGTGGCTTGAATCTATTATCAGTAGATTTGTAAATTTCCCTTTCTCATTGTGATTATGAGGAAACATAATGAGGAAACAGGGCAGCTATGATTTAATTTTCTAGGTTTCTCCCGTTTGTTAAGTCAAAGTTAACAGTTATGACAAAGGCATATTTTAGTGAGTAAAAGAATTGTTACTTGTCAACTATCAGTCTATCTACCTCTCTGCTCTTGTTATGTGTGTATGCTTTGTTAGGTATAGATAATGTATGCATATTTTTTTCAAATTTTGAACTTTCTCCTTTATGTTCAAAACAAATGTTTTTTATTGTATGTGTTAGAAATCTGTTATGACATTCTTCAAAGAATGTGATTTGCTTATTTCCACTCTATCTTTGTCTTTCTCTTCTGTTTCCTTATTATACAGAGTATAGAGATAACAGTTTTGATATTAAGTGTAATATAGGAAAGACATTAGTTTATTAAATAGTAAATAAGGAAACCTTCAGAGATAGGTTCCTGTCTCGGATATTCAACACAGTGGACTAGGGATTATGATAATTTGGTGCTTCTTGACTAATGTGATCATAATAATGACCAGTATTTAGTAAGCGCTTGCCCTTGTGCTACACACTTCATATGCCTTGACTCACTTATTCTTTCTAAAAACTCAGTGAGGTGGGTATAGTATTATTTTCCTTTTGCAGATGAGGAGAAAGTGGGTTAGTAATTTTACAGATGAGGACACTGTAGCATAGCGAGGTTAAGTAACTTGCCTAAGATCACACATAAAGCAAACAGCAGACCCAGAGCTTCAACCAGTCTTGACTTACAAAAGCATAATTTCAAACAAAATCCTGCACAGCTTCTCTAATGTTAAACTGGAATGCAAAGCAATATTCTATCGCTTCCTCTAGATGGTTAACAGGCCAAGCATTGGCATCCTGGATATCATTTATATGGGTGGGAATAGGTAAATTAAAATTACAGTCTTACTGAGTGATTTAAGTAAAATTGAAGTAAAATTATTGTCAATTACTAGATGTTCCAATAATGCCATTTATATAAAGAAGTAGTTCAAACCAAGGAACAAAGTACCTTATGCAGAAAAGATAAATTTCAGCTTCCCGGTCATCCACTATCATTCTATTTGGACTGACCACTAGGTAACCCTTGTATTGCAGAACAGCCGTCCACATGTTTGCTATTAGGACAGGCGATAATTAAAGATGTATGTTCAGAACTGTTTGTATTCTTCACATTCTTAATTTAATTTGTATTTTTTTCTCTCTTGCTTTGTAAAGCCCTGTTTGCTGACTTGGTGCTGAGGCTCGGGCTGACGGCTCTAGCCAGCAATCTAGTCCAGTTTCAGGAGCAATTGCAAAACTTCTGTCCTGGGTGGGTGGAAGCCACATGTTTTGGGGAGGTGCTGGAGTGAATGAAATCCTTCCTACTCTTTTAAAATCCCTCTTCCACAGCCAAATCTGAGAGTGACATGAAGTTGGCCTCACAATAGTCTTGTCTTATAAAAGTTGTGTCTTGTCCAAGTAGAAAATGCTTTGATAGATTCTCTATAGGCCTGTAATTCTGGAATAAAAACACTTGTACAAACACATGTGGCATTGTCTATAAAAGTTAAAACAGGAAGGAGGAGAAATGAAGAGGAAAACGTGCTATTTATTATTAAGGTGACTGGAGTGTTTTATTAGGCCTTTATAATTGATTTTATTTGAGGAGTGTTGGTCAGAAAGTAGAGTTGTACATAATCCCTCTGTGTGTGTACCCCCACCAAATTATGAAATATTTAAAAAAAATCTGCTTGTTATTGGCAAGAGCATGGAATTCAAAAGCCTTGATAATTCCAGATGCATGTGTGTGCGCTTTTGATCTTCTGAGCTAATCAGATGTCAGTTCACACTTTCTCCTTTTCCTCTAGGTCTCTCTGGGATGCTGGGTTTGGGCATCGTGGCTCCTAATTTAGCCTTTTCTCAGATGGTGACCACATTTGGCTTGGCCGGCATCGTGGGCTACCACACCGTCTGGGGAGTGACCCCCGCTCTCCACTCACCACTGATGTCTGTGACTAATGCAATCTCAGGTTTGTTTTTGCCCTGTTTTCCCTTACCATAGGTTTTCAGTAGTTTTATTCAACTCTATGTGTGCTTTCAATGAGGTTTATGAGGTGTGTGTTTTCAAAGTGTATCTGTTGGCATTTGAGATTGTGATTGTGGGACTCAGGCTTCTGGAGTGGGGCGGAAGCTCCTGGAAGCGAGAGACTGAGGAATCCATTAGGCCTTTGACTTCTCCCATTTCAAGCAGTTCAGTGTCACTCTTATTTCTTTTAGTTATGATTGCCTTTTATTTTGCTTCCACATGTTAAATAGTTTTATTTGTGACCTTCAAAACATAGAAACAAACCTTTGTTTTTATTTGATTTACTCACACCTGAGTGAATGACTGTCTCATTTATTTGAGACTTTAAAATCCACCCTAAATGTTCCCCTTTTATATCTAGGTGATTTGTACAAATTCCTGGGATTTTGGATTCTATAGTTAAGTTTCTTGCTTCCTGGGTAGGAGTAGACAATAGGTGGAATGCTGAGTGTTGACAGATTTTTCCCTGACATGCATTACTTCCTGGGCCTTTGGTGCTTGTAGTAAAATGTGGCAATAGAGAGAATGAAATAGAGGCCTAGTGAAAATGCTCTTTGAGAGGCCTTTCAGAGAAGAAATACAAAATGCAATATAATTTGTTAAAATGATTGCCTCTGATTTTGTCGAATTCTGGTTTTAAAGTGCTATGTGCTTAGAAAATTAAATGTAACAGATAAAATTACCCAATGAATTACATTCTAAAAGTTGTGGTAAAGAATATGCCTGGCTGTTAATATATCAGATTAGACACATTAATTTATACAGCCCCATTGAGTGCTTGAGAGCCACACAAATGCTTGTCAAACTGAATAATCTTTTAGAAATCAAGGTTTTAACATTCAGAATTATCTCATAAGATGAAATGAGCTAATCAGTCCCAACATTTTTAACACTTAAAACTTAATTGCAGCATGCGGAAATGTAGAAAAAAATCTGAGATCCAGATTTTTGTATGAAATGTCCCAACGTTTAATGTCAGGCTTCATTTAGAAATAGAACTGTGCTATGAAGGACTGCTTTTACACTATGAAATGAGTTTTTTATATGTATCAGAGGCCCATCTGAAGCTATAAGTCCAAACTGAAAAAAAAAAAAAAAAAAAAAGAGAGATTGTCTCTGAAAAAGTGTTCCTTGATAACATTTGGAGATTAGTGTTTCACAGAATCCTATTTGGAACATCCTTTAGGGCTTCTTAGATTTAACTAACATTCCCAACAAGTATACAGCAGGCCAAGTCTGGCATAGGGTTCCCTCGAAGCAGATGGAACAGAAAATAGTTGGCTGGCTGAGCAGCATCAGGCCTTTCTCCTTGGTGTGAGCCTTCAGGAGATGTCTGAGGTACTGGTTTACATGGCTGCCCAGGACCTGTTCTCATTTGTCCTCATTGATGACTGAGATCTGAAGGATGAGCCCCACATTGGACAGATGGAGGGGCTCCCCTGGGCTGGAAGTCTCATGACCCCAGTGTGCATCTCTTACAGCATGGCCAGTGCTATAGCTTCTGGAATCCTGAGCTGCTGTACTCAGGAAAGCCTGAAGCTCAGATGCAATTTATTTACCAGGGGCCCTTTTTACCAAAAACTGTGTTGTTTGCTAGCATTGTTGATTTCTGTCTGCCGGAACAGAACTAGAAAGTTCAGAAGAAAAACGTTTTGTTAACACTGCCCCAATAGCCGTCCATGGGAATGGTGTTGAGAACTTTCTCCTGTACGAGTCTGTGCATGGAAAGTCTTCAACTTTGACATCTGATTGGGTGGCGTCTCCATAGCGACTCACTCTGTTGCCGCTTCCTTCCTAGGCTTGACTGCGGTTGGTGGGCTGGCGCTGATGGGAGGACATTTGTATCCCTCCACAGCTTCTCAGGGCCTTGCTGCTCTTGCTACTTTCATATCTTCAGTCAACATTGCAGGTGCGTAATAGTGGAAGAAGCCAGGCAACTATTTCCATTGGACACACGAGAAACAAATATAAATCAATAAAAGTAGACATTGTGATCAAGAATTTAATTTTGTCTTTAAAAGATGCTTCACTCAGCTATAAATATTCTGCGAAGTTATAATTTTTCCCTGTCTGTAATTTTTAGAACCCCCTTTGATACAAAACTCCCTTTACCCGCTCCAATACCCTAAACAAACAAAATGATGTCTTGCTGTAAATTAACTGAAAGTTATTGAATGCAGTTTTGAAGTAAGTGAGGTAGAACTATCACCGTAACATCTCTAAATGAGTATAATTTGAGATAAAATTTTGTTTGATCCCAGTCTGTGTTGAAAACTGAAAGCCTAGCACATCACTTTTTTGTGAAACCCATTTGATGCTATTTTGTAGCTAAAAAAATCTCTAGTTTGTCCAAGATACTTAGTGTCTTGTTAAGGTATTTATTTTCTTGTTTCATTTATTGTGGGGCTTAACAATCAGAATAATTTACTAGAAAAAAATTCCTGGCCTTTGATCTTTTGCATTCCTAAGATGTTTGAATGGCTGTTTACTTTTAGTCATGCAGAAATAGTTAGGCATGGTTTCTTCCAGCAAGTTTTCTTCCTGAATATACATAATTCCCTCCCTTTCTCTGCCCCATCCCACCCCTCTTTAATAGATCTGGTTTGACTTTTAATTTTGAGGTTCTTAAAATGTTACTTAAGGGCCCTCCCTGGTGGCGCAGCGGGCTAAAGCACAGCACTGAGAATCTGAAGCCACTTCCGCGTGAGTTCGATTCCCGCCTGCCCCGGAGGTGACCACATGGCGTGGCAGACCTCTCCTGACCCGCCCGCTGCTCCCCTCAGCAGTGTACTTCATAGATCTGCCTGTTCTGCTCCCCACTCTGTCTCTGGTGAAGCCTCTCACCGCCCCTGAGCCTCTGGCCTGTACCCCAGTTCTGTATGTGCAAATAAATAAATCTTTAAAAAAAAATGTTACTTAAAATTATTTTTATCCCTAGATAATAAGAATGGGCTTAAAATAGAAAAATTGTAGTATTTAAAAATATGTTGTTCCATGAGATAACCCCTTTTTGTTTTACATTTGCTTTGCTAAGGTGGCTTTCTGGTGACACAAAGAATGTTGGACATGTTCAAACGGCCCACTGATCCCCCAGAATACAATTATCTGTATCTGCTCCCTGCTGGTACCTTCATTGGAGGATATTTAGCTGCCCTCTACAGTGGTTATAACATTGAACAAGTAAGAGACTCCTTTGAATGTTTAATTTTTTTGCCTCTGTGTTTTCTTTCCAGTTGGAGTTAATATCATTATCAAAATAAACTTGATCAGGCCAATACAACAGTAACTCCATAAATATCTTGATCAAGGACCTCCCTGATCGTGCAAGGGGTTATGTCTCAGCACTGTGAAGCAATCCACAACCCCTGCAGCATGGGTTCAGTTCCTGGCCAGGGAACTGACCCATATGGATTACCAATCACTCCTGTCTTGCCCGTTGCTCTCCTCCATAGTATAATTCAGTGCATCTGTCTTGCCTGTTCTGCTCCCCATTCCATCTTGGTGAATCCTCACCGCCTGCACCTCTGATCTACATCCCAGCTCTTGTATGCATAAGTAAATAAATCTTAAAAAAAAAAAGGAATAAAAAGAAACATCTTGATCAAATAGATCAAATCGAATTCCTATCCCTAAGTGTCAGGGATTCTGAATTCTAGAGACAGATTTACCTGCTAACTGATTATACAAATGTGGATTTACTCATATAGAGAAGATTATTAGTATCCTCTTTATGTACCTGGCTACATTGTTGTAAGTATAACAAAGTAATCAGTAAAAATTAGAGACTTTTAAAATTAAATGCTGTCAGTCCTGTTCCTACTTTCTTCTTTTACAAATATGGACACCATCTCTTGGTTATGCAATTAATTTAAAAAGGATAGTTTAAAAGTGAATGTTGTATAGAAAAAGATATAATCAAGTGGGACCTTGAAAGTTCTGGGTTTAAATATAATGATAATAGAGCTCAACTCTGTTCTTAACTCAGTATTTCCATTTCTTTTCAATTACTTTGCTGGATTGTTAATTCTTTGACAGCAAAAAACAAAGCAAAAAAAAAAACAACAAACCCATGTCTTTCTTGGTTTCTGCTGTTTCCAACATGCAGTATTTGTTGAAAGAACAAAATCTTTTTGAGAAAATTTGGAGTGGTGAGTCAAAGGCTCTGATGTCTGAATCCCAGATTTTCTATTTACTGATCATTCAATGTTGGAAAAATTATGTAACCTCTTTAAGCTTTGGCTTTGTTTTTTTGTTAAGAGAGGGTGATCATTCTTTCCTCCTGTGAATGTCATAAGACTGAGTTACAACAGAAGTGAAGTAGAAGCCATAGTCTTTGGCACTCAGGACATCAGGGCCTTCTCTTTCACAGCATTTAGGTAGGTGTAGATCCCGTAATTCCACTTATATTTAGGCACTTTATATGCCTTTGTGTATACTATCAAGTCCAGAAGAAACCAAGTTACATAACTGGTGTGATTGAAAGTAGAATTTAAAGTATTGAAGATGTTTATATCCCAAGTGCATAGGAAAATACATCAAAATATCAGAAGAGCTCATATTGAGATCATATGCTGCCTACATTTAAAATTATCTTAAGAGAATCATGTTTGCTAAAGAGAAACTCGACAAGGTTTTTAAAACCTTTTCCTTCCCTTTCCTTACAAAGATCGTGTACCTGGGCTCAGGTTTGTGCTGCGTTGGTGCCCTGGCCGGTCTTTCCACCCAGGAAACAGCTCGTCTTGGCAATGCATTGGGCATGATTGGGGTGGCTGGAGGTCTGGCGGCCACCCTCGGAGGCCTCAGTCCAGGCCCGGAATTGTTAGCTCAGATGTCTGGAGCAATGGCTTTGGGCGGTACTATTGGTAAGCACTGGGTGGATTTTGCCTGTTTGTGACCCCGTGCCCTCTTTACCCATGAATGCAGGTATGCTCGGACATTTAATAATTGTAGTAGTAAGAACTCTGACTAGCGCTTGAGTTTCTGAATATATATATATATATATATTTTTTTTTTCCTTCTGAAGGCATTATGTCATTAATATGGATTAATGGAGGAATTAAATTACCTTAGTGAAAATTCCTTCAAAAAATATTATATTGGAGAAAGTTCATCATAGGTGGTATACTTCTCATTCAAATACAAACATTTAAAAATGTGAGTGTAAAGATTATTGCGCTGTAGAATTACTTTGTAATTACTCTGGTTGCTTTTTTGATTTGACTGTTAATAGAATGGGAGATTGAAAAAAATCAGTGCATACACACACACATCTTCACACACACACACATATACAGAGAGTTGGTGTCTTTACTTTTTCTATAGCTTATGTAGAGTATATTTATCACAGTAAGAAGCAGATAGTTACTGGTCACAGTGATGCCATCTTTAAGTGCAGTCCTGCTTGTGGTTACAACGCAAAGGTCTGTCTGTCAAATTTTAATTTTTCTTTTGGTCTTCATTTGCCAACAGGCTTGACAATTGCCAAACGCATCCAAATTACAGACTTACCTCAGTTGGTTGCTGCTTTTCACAGTTTAGTGGGCTTGGCGGCTGTCCTTACTTGCATCGCTGAGTACATTGTAGAGTATCCACATTTCGCTGTGGATGCAACAGCAAATCTCACCAAGATCGTGGCCTACCTTGGAACTTACATCGGTGGTGTCACATTCAGTGGGTCTCTTGTCGCCTATGGAAAATTGCAGGGTAAGTGCATAACCATAACATAGCTTTTCAATTTGGGGTGTATTAGGGGGTTCATTGCAATTTCAGAGACTAGATAAATAGTAGAACCTGTTAGGTGAAACATTTTTGTGCAGTCCTCAGAAATATATGAGTTTTTTTTCCCTCCATAAAGATAAGATGACTTCCTGTTACTCATTTGCTAAATCTTTGAATCTCTTTCTTCTGCAAACAGTTAGTGAAGGAAACTGATGCAAGACATAAGAACAAAGATAGTATCTCCATAATCCTTGGTTAAGACAGCTGTGTAAAGTTCACAGAAATGAACTTCAGACATTTTCTAAAAGAGAGAAAAGTTTATTGAAAGCACTTTTTTTTCTTTAAAGATTTAGTTATTTATGCATACAGAACTGGGGTACAGGCCAGAGGTGCAGCGGTGGTGAGAGGATTCACCAGAGACACAGTAGGGAGCAGAACAGGCAGTTCAATGAAATATACTGCTTAGGGGAGCTGTGGGGTGGGTCAGGAGAGGTCTGCCATGCCATGTGGATCACCTTGGGGGGTACCTGGGATTGAACTCACACTGAGGAGGCTGTGACCAGCTTGCAGTGCTTCATCCTTACCCATTGCACCTCTAAGGAGGGCCTGAATGCACTTCTTTTGGAAACAAAACCCACACTTCAGCGCCTCTGTCAGGATGACTTGCTCCTCCTAAAGCCAGTCATGAAAATAGCAGTGGGACACATTTTAGTATTTTCACAAAAAAGTGAGTCTGGAGGACCTAGTTTTCTTTTTAAAAACCTCGTTTTCCCGGCCCTCCCAGGTGGCGCAGCGGGTTAAAGCACAGCACTGAGAATCTAAAGCCACTTCCACATGAGTTCGATTTCCGCCTGCCCCGGAGGTGACCATATGGCGCGGCAGACCTCTCCTGGCCCGCCCGCTGCTCCCCTTAGCAGTGTACTTCGTCGATCTGCCTGTTCTGCTCCCCACTCTGTTTCTGGTGGATCCTCTCACCCTCCGTATCTCTGGCCTGTACCCCAGTTCTATATGAATAAATAAATCTTAAAAAAAAAAAATTGTTTTAAAAAAAAAAAACCCAAAAAAAAAAAAACCTTGTTTTTCCCTCTCAGTAGTCAAGTCATTAAAATTAAATGGGGGACTTCATGAAACTTAAAAAATCACAACAGAACCTCAAACCTAAAACATTCTTGTCTCATGCTTTGCCTTTGCAAACTGCTAGCAAACCAGGGTTCTTCTCCCTTGGGCTCAGTTGATAGAATCAGAAATGGTCATGTCTTAGGGTTCTGTTTTGAAGTTTTAAATAAATAAAACCACACTTAACAACTTCTGTGTTGGTCATATGGGGAATGAAAATCACTTTTCAAGATTGTCTGACAGAGTAAAGCAATTGTGGGATCAAAGTAGAGAACAGTTAAGCCATACTTTTTCTATTTCTGCTAATATTTGTTGTGTGTAAGAACTTTATTTGCTTTTATGTTTCAGTATCTGGATATTGGATATTTTAAAAATGTCATATTTTTATTCTGTTTGGGTAGTTTAGAATTAAATGACATACGCTTAAGCATGTGTGAGTGAGGGGGTTTCTCATGAAAAAGAGAGTGGGTAAGAGGGATTTGGGTGGTCTTATGATATGTTCTGGGTTTTGAACACTGTGTGCTTGGTCCTAGGTATCCTAAAATCTGCCCCTCTCATGCTCCCTGGAAGGCACTTACTCAATGCAGGCCTGCTGGCTGCTAGTGTGGGTGGAATGATCCCGTTTATGATGGACCCCAGCTTTACCACCGGCATTACCTGCCTGGGCTCAGTGTCCGCTCTCTCTGCTGTCATGGTAAGAAGTCAGAGCTGGGGAGTACGTGTTTGAGAGTATTTTGTTAAATTACAATCTGGTCCTATATATCTAATCTTCTAGACCCCAGGTGACATAAACATATTTTAAGTGATATAAGGGATTCATATTAGAATCTGGAAAAAAAAATGTACAAAGAAAATCACTTTTTAAACCATTACGCTTATTGAGGCAGAGTTGATCTACAGTACATACTGATTTACAATACAGTATGTGTTGTAGGAGTACAGATTCACACCTCTGCAAATGTATGTTCTCACACCATGCCCACCACCAAAACACCAATAATTTTGCACCATAGTCTGTCTGAGTCCTCTCTCTGCTTTATTTCCACTTATGTTGAAAATCACTTTCAGCTTAATTATTTCTTTCAAAGTGGTCATGTGCCACATCTTTGTTGCTTGGGGGCTTTTTACTGGGTCAGTATGTTGATGAATAGGATTTATTAAAAAGCCACATGTTTCAGTTTCATTCTCCAGGTGCGTGCTGTGTGCGTTGGGGTTTATGCAATAAGTGTAGCCCATTACTCTCCCATTTGCTCTAAGCAATGACACCAGATCACATAATTACGTAACACTGAGATGCAGTTAGTAAATAAACCCTATGTTTGGTGGGGGAGTTTAGTGAAGCCTTTCATGATAGTTTGGGTCTTCTTGTATTTAGCTTATTCATACAGGTAGTCTAGTTGCCTACATGTTACAATTTGGCATTTTATTGTCAGTGTGCAAGTGCTGTTGCACACAGTTCTGTGGATGTGTCATGTGTATCAAGTGTTTTCAAACAAGGTTTATATTTAAATTTTTTTTAAAGATTTATTTATTCATGCATACAGAAGTGCAGGGGCCAGAGACAGAGTGGGGAGCAGAACAGGAAGATTAAGCACAGGAGATCAATGAAGTACACTGCTGAGGGGAGCAGCGGGTGGGTCAGGAGAAGTTTGCCGCGCCATGTGGATCACTTCTGGGGCGGGGATTGAACTCATGCTGAAGTGGCCTTAGTTTCTTAGTGCTGTGCTTTAACCCGCTGTGCCACCAGGGAGGGCCCCCTTTTCACTTTTTAATGGCCTTTGCCCCCCAACTATACCTTATCCTTGACTCATCTAACTAGTGAGATTTTTTTTTTTATTTTACAAAAGTTTATTTTTACATCATTTTGTACAGTTTTTTTTTTCCATCTTAATTGTAATCCCCACGGGTTTCCCATCACCAAGTCACCTGTGTGCCATCACCATAACCCCGTGCATTTCCCTCCCCACCCACCCCGTTTTTGATCCCATTCCCTACTCCACCCCCACAAAATGTCTCTGGTCTATGGTTGTTCATTATTTTTGTTATTTTCTCACCTGGTCCATTATACTCCTGCTATGAGTGAAACCATCTGGTATTTTTCTTTCTCTTTCTGGCTTATCTCACTAAGCATGATC